TTGTATAATAATGTATGTATGTACATTTTATCTTTAAAAGAAAACAACTGTGAAAAGTAATCCCAGCTAGTGAGAGTGAGTGAAGGTATGAGTAAAACAGTAATCGTAGAATTTTGATAATGTTGAAGGTGGGTGATGGTTGTGGGCATTCATTCCAATACTATGGATACATTGTATGCATTTGACATTTTAAAAAATAAAAGTTTTAAAATACATACCACTGAAATGTACAGTATTTATTCTCTTCATAGAATGAATATACCTTCTTAAGAAGCTTTCTCTTTCTATGAGCAACAGAACATTTTTTTTTTTAAATCCATGGGGATTCCCTGTGTGTGCTTCGCATGGAGAATTTAAAATGGAGCTCATTATTTTCTCCAGTTCTCCTTGTCTCCACCACCAGCATGTCTCCCATTTAATGGACCATCAGAATGAATATGATAAGCCTGCCTCAGCTATCACCAGCCCCCAAATTAATGCTTCTCTGGTCTCTCAAATATTTATTTCTAGCAAATACTGGTGCAGATGGAGAAATGAGAGCTGCACATACTGGAGAAAATAACGGATTTGACAAATAGATCCCCATCTTCATCTTTTTTCTCACTACTCTCTGAACACAGAGTCCTGGTGTGGCACTGCAGAATAATGCACTGGACCGCAAGATGGATTTGAACCAGAGGTCAATGGATCAAACCCACCAGTTGCTCCTCAGAAACTTTAGCTAGCACTTAACACAACTCTCTGAATACAATGGTCATAAATTAACAAATTCTGGTGTGGTGCTGTGAGTTAATGTGCTGGACTGCAAGGTCAGTTTGAACCACAAGATTAGTGGTTCAAGTTCACCAGTAGCTCCTTAGAAACCCTATGCAGGGTTGGACATGACTTGACAGCACTTAACAACAACAACAAGTTAACAAGAAAATGGATTTCTTTTAATCCCCATGTTCAATTCTTAATTCCTTCTAGAAGACCAACCTGGGCATTTTTTTAATCTCCTAAACCTCTTACTAAGGAGCTCTGGTAGCGTACTGGTTACAAATCGGGCCGCGAACCGCAAGGACAGCAGTTGGAAACTACCAGCTGTTCCGCGGGAGAAAGATGAGGCTTTCTGCTGCCGTAAAGATTTACGCCTCGGAAACCCCGTACAGGGTCGCTATGAATCGGAACCAATTCCACGGCGCAGAACAATAAAAACAATAAACCTCTTAACCGATTGCCACCAAGTAGCTTCTGACTCATGGAGGTTCTAAAGGGCAAAATCACCTGTTCCTTCCGGTTTCCGAGAATGTAAATCTTTACAGGAGCAGACTGCCACATCCTTTTCTGTGGAGATGCTGATGGGTTTGAACTGCCAACCTTGCAGTTAGTAGCCAAATGTTTAACCCCCTGTGCCACTAGGGTTATTTATTGTCTCACATTCAATTATTCTTTGATGCTTTCTTATTTATAAAAATACAGATATAAAATTTCAGGGTAATAAAATTCAGAGAATACTATCAAAATTGATGATCAGTTTCTATACTATTGACTTATAATGTTCAGTCAATACACAAGTCTCTGAACAAGTCATTAAATGTGTTTTACTAATTTGCCTGAGAAAAAATCCCTAGTTTTGCACAAGGCATGTCAGAAGACCATACAAAGGCAAAGAATGAACTCAGGCTTGATCCGTTACTTAAAGACATCTTGTGTTAATACCCTTATATAGTTCATAAGAAGATTTTAAATGAACTAGTACAGAAGGCAATGTGTAGAATCAAATACTGCTGTCAGTTCACTATACAGTTAGCATGATGCTGCTGCTGTTGGATGCCATTAAGTTGGTTCTGACTAAGCGACCCTGTATAGGGTTTTCAGGACTGTAAATCTTTAAATTTTTAAATCATGGAGCAGCTTGTGGATTCGAACTGCTGACCTCAGGGTTAGCAGCCCAATGCATAACCCACTATGCTATCAGGGCTCCTTTAACATCTGATAAAACATTGAAATTAGCTAAAATTAAATTATCTAAAATTTTATACTTTCTAACTTCTGGTGGTGGTTAAGTGCTGTGGAGTTGATTCCGACTCATAGCGACCCTGTACAGGGTTTCCGAGGCTGTAAATCTGTATGGGAGCAGAATGCCTCATCTTTCTCCCGTGGAACCGCTGGTAGTTTCGAACTGCTGACCCTGAATTCTATTCATAAATATTTCTACTTATGTTTTTTAATTTTTATATATTCTCCTGTTAAGAGCAACTCAACAGCACACAACAACAAATTCCGAGTAACAATTTTATAAGAAATTAAATAGCATATATCCAGAAAGAGAAAGTGATCCTGATGCCCGCACATGGATTCGTTCAGTGAATAAACATCTTAGTGTCTCTTCCACACCAGGTATCCTTTTAGGTACTAGAAATAAAACAATGAACAAAACAAAATTTATATCCTCATGGAGCTTACATTCTAGTAAGGAATATAAGCTTATAAAAATGACAAAGGATAATAGTCGCAAGAGAATGAATTAGGGTAAAACTGAAAGGGTGCACAGGATACTATTTAATATTAGCTGGTCAGGAAACGTTTCTCAGTTGCACTGACATATGAATAAAACTGGAAGAAAGTGAAGTTCCAGAATTCTAGGCAAAGGAAATGATAAAGTGCAAAGGTCCAGGGCCTCAATCAACATGCAAATTCAAGAAATTGCCCGGGTCAGTGAGGCTACAATGGAGTGAATTCCACTATGAACTATGGGAGATGAGGGGTAAGAAGGGGTGGGGAGCAGATTATCTAGGCCTTTGTAGGCCATTTTAAGGATCTGGGTTTCTAGTGTGAAAGAGATGGAAAGCCATTCAGCTCTGAACAGCAATGAACCTATTTAATGGTTTTAAAGAAATCGCTCTAGCTGTATATGCAGAGTAGGTGGTAAGGGAATAAAGTTTGAAGCAGAAAGACCATTTCACTTTAGAGATCACAATGTGCTCAAAGGAATATTTTAACTTTACTTGCTTGTAGGCTGTGTTTTATTATACACCTCAATATATCCAGTAACTAACAATGGTCAGTGGAATTGCTCTATTGTTTGCCACTGGCTTGGGGGTTAGAGTCCTTTAAGGAGAACCAAGAGTCACCCATTATATGTTGCTTTTCACGCTCTAATTTAATCTATCAGCTAGTGGCTCCTCTACCAACTGTAGTTGTTGTTAAGTGCCACTGAAATAGTTCCAACTCATAGCAACCCTCTATAGGGTTTCCAAGAAGCAGCTGGTAGGTTTGAACCACTGACCTTGTGGTCCAGTGCTTATCTTACAGTGCCACAACCTTTAACCAATTAATCTAAGGTAAGTGAGACAAACCTTGTTAGTTTCCTACACAATTATCCTTTTGTAAAAATTTCCCTTACAAAATAGCAAAGCCAGAAACAAAACAGCTAAAAACAAATATTTTGTGTGCTTGATATGAAAGGTTTCACATTATTGTAGTTACTCATTCCATTCAAAATCCATTCCTGAAAGATTAACTAAAATAAAAATATACTGCAAACTAATAACCATCAATTTCTCCAAAACTTCCATTTCATAATTAACTTATGAAATCCTTATAAAGACAGTCATTTTCCTATCTCCGATTTAAGTTTTGTAAATGAAATGCCTATCATAGCCTCACCTAAACCATGTTGTTACCACTTTCAGTTATAAAAAAACTGAGGTGGAAAACCACAAAACACTTCAAACGACGCCATCTTTGATTGGTTTAAGAGGGTGTCAGAAACACATGATTTCCTGCACACTTTGGTGATTTCATTCTATGCACAAAGCACTCCAATAAATTAAATCATATTGCTTGTGTCATGGATCACAGCTGGTGTGCCTAAGTAGTGCTCTTTGACAATGAGCAAGCAATACAAAATAAGATTGATACCACTCTTTAAAATCCCATTTTCAGCATCTTGAATACTGTTACCAGAAAGGATTTTAAAACAAATACAAGCACTACAATATAATTCATTTCAGTTTTGCAGAAACCTACTTTCCACAAATTTGATGGCTTTTTTTTTTCTTTTCAAATAGCAGACATCCACAGTATTGAAGGGAACTGTGGTGGGGGTGGGGAGAGGCTATTAGAATGGCTATTCCAGCTTTTGCTTACCAGTAGATCTTTCACGGGCTGGGGGAGGGGGTAGAAGCTAAGTAGGAACTCTGGGACTTTCACAGACATGTCTATATCCCAGTCTTATTTCCTTATCTTCAATGTATAGTGTGAAGAATCTACCTCTCCTAAATTCTACAGACAAGTAAGATTTCCTCCTCTGGGACACTATCCTAACCACTCCAGGTTTTTTCTTAATCCCCCCCTTTTCCTTTTTCTTTCCTTCAATTACAATCTCTACTTCGTTTTGTTGTTTCATCTTCTTGTACTAAAGGCATTCTAGCGAAATGCCTTATGTCATTCCTGAGATAATGAGAGGCAGAAATAAATAATAATTTCTTTTTCCAGGTCTAAATTTAAATATAGCAGGTGGGGAGAGATGGTGAAAAAGGGTGTGTGGGGGTGTCTACCGCAAGATTTTTCGGTCTCTAGGAGAGAAAATGCTAAAAGCATTTGAGAAGCGTGTGTGTGTGTGTGTGTGTGTGTGTGTGTGTGTGTGTGCGCGCGCGCGCGCGCGCGCGTACTGTAGTCCTTAGGGCCAACGGAAGAATTCAGGAAAAGGGGGTGCATGGAGAAAAAGATCGATCGAGGCAGTGACCCACCTCCTACCTTTTCCGACCCCTCCCCACTCCACTGCAGTGTTCAGAGCTTCCCAGAAAGCTCATAGTCCGAAGACTAGATTCACGACACCACAGTAGGGATGGAGCCCTGAACCAGCAGTCTGGGGAGAAAGGGAGATGGGGACTGAGCAGAAATGGGAGATGGGAAGCGCTCTGACTAAAGAGGTGAAAAAGCCAGAACCACCAGTTAGATCGCCGGCCGAGATGAGATGGTACAGATGCTAGAAGGCAGACGCAAGTACCTACCCGGAACAGGCGTGGAGGGGGATGCCTCAGGCACCTCTGGCCTCTTCTCCTTAGCCTTCTCCCTCTGCTGTTGCTGCTGATGTTGCTGGATGAGGCTGAGGTCCGAGCGGCTGAGCTCGGCACTAGCGGCCGCAGGGACCAGCCGCGCCTTTAGCAACACCGCGGCCAGGCCGAGGAGCAGAGTGCAGGGGACCGCCATGGCCAAGAGCCAGAGGGCCGCGGCGGCATATTGGGGGTGCAGGCAGCGGCGGACGCCTGGGCTACGGGCTCCTGGCCGAGACCGCTCGCTTGCTCCTCCTCGCGCCGTCTGCCGCACACACCCTCACCGCCAGAAGGAGGGGGCGCGGAGGCGGGGAAGAAGGAGGGGGAAGCTTGCCTTCTCCCGCACGTGACCCACTGGGAACGGCGAGTGTGGGGCTCACTGACCACCAGCCGGCAAACACCCCGGACCCTGCTGGTCCGAGACTACACGCTGGGCGCCGTGCTGGAGGCATTGTTCGGGGTAAAGGCTTGGGAGGGAAAATGGGAGGACTTTCTGGGTACTAGTAGACTTTCAGATTCACCAACCTCTAAAGAAACACTGGAAACCTTTGTAGAAAGTAAAATGCACGCCCCCCCCACCCCATCCCCTGACTAGCACACACCAGTCAGCAAAGTACGCGGATGCCCTTATAACACACTTAGGCTAGCACTAACACATAATGATTTGAATAACTGTTTTAAGCATTCGGCTGTTGATAAATGCTGTCAAGTCAGTTGAACTCATAGAGCAGAAAGCCTTATCTTTATCCCGCAGAGCAGCTGATGGGCTTGAACTGCGGACCTTGTAGCCACCTGTTAATCCAAAAATAACTTTGTTTTTGTGTCTCCATTTTGAAGTAACTAAGAAGACAATACATAAGCCATAATCTTGCAATAAGCAACCAAACCTACTGCTATTGAGTGGATTTTGCAATGCTATAGGGTTTCCAAGACTGTAAATCCTACCGAGCAGGAGCTGCGGATGAGTTTGAACCCAGATCTTGTAGTACGTGCCAACGGCCTAATCCATAGACAGTACAAAATAAAATAAATAAAACATTTCTTTCCGGACCGATTTCTTTTGATTCCAGCAGAGACCCTAAATGGGTTCTGGATGTTTCTTTCCACAGAAAGTCGTACCTGGTGTGGCGCTGTGGGTTAATGCGCTAGACTGAAAATCCATTTCAACTGCAAGGTCTGCAGTTCAAGCTCACCAGCTGCTCCTCGGAAACACTATACAGGGTTGCTATGGGTCAGACTGACTAGAAAACACTTAACAACAACATGATAAGGAGTGGAGCCATGGGATAAACACTTGATCTTAAGGTCGGTTTATACCGGCTCAAACTCACCAGCCTTTTTAGAAACCCTATGTTGTTGTTGTGAAGTGCCTTCAAGCTGATTCCGACCCTGCATAGTTTCCAAGGAGCTTCTGGTGAGCTTTACCCCCGACCTTGCAGTTCAAACGACTTTGCAGTCAGGGACTCTATTAGTTGGCAACAACTCTACAGCACTGAACAACATGGTAAGAGCACACAAGAGCTACTTTCTCTTCTGCCCTACTTCTCTCCTAATACTTTTGCCTTCCATTCCCCACTTTATCTGTTTTTTGATAACTGTTAGATTGGAGGAAAACTCACAAACAACCTGCAATATGCAGAAGATGATACAATCTTGCTTGCTGAAAGTGAACAGGATTAAAAAAATTACTGGTGAAGATCAAAGAACAAAGTCTTCAGTATGGGTTGCACCTCGAATCAACTATAGACAGTCATGGGGAGCAGCAGTTAAGGAATCAAAGGACATATTGCATTAGGCAAATCTGCTGCTCAAAGACCTCTTTAAAGTGTTGAAGAGCAAAGATGTCAACATAAGGACTAAAGTGTGCCTGACCCAAGCCATGGTATTTTCAATAACCTCATATGCATGCAAAAGCTGGACAGTGAATAAGGAAAACCGTAGAAGAATTGATGCTTTTGAGTTATGGTGTTGGAGGAGAATATTGAAAGTGCCATGGGCTGCCAAAAGAACCAATAGATCTGTGTTGGAAGAAGTGCAGCCAGAGTGCTCCTTGGAGGCCAAGATGGCCAAACTTCATCTCTCATACTTTGGACATATTGTCAGGAGGGACCAGTCGCTGGAGAAGGATATCATATTTGGTAAGGTGAAGGGTCAGAGAAAAAGAGGAAGACCCCCAATGAGATGGATTGGCCAAGTGGCAGCATCGATGGACTCAAGCGTGGCAACAGTAGTGAGGTTGGCCCAGGATCGGGCAGCGTTTTGTTCTGCTATGCATAAGGTCACTCACTATGAGTCAGTACTGACTCCATGGCACCTAACAAAAACAACAACATTGAGGATGGCCTGGTGTGGTGCTGTGGGTTAATTCGCCAGACGGCAAAGCTGTTTGAACAGCAAGATTGGCGGTTCAAGCTCACCAGCTGCTTCTCAGAACCCTTCTCAGAACCGACTCTATGGCACTTAACAACAATATTGAGGATGGATTGGGGTGATTGGGGTGGAATGGGTGGGAAGAGGTCTGATTACAGGTATTTGAAAACCCCATGATGAGTTGTCAAAGAATCAACAGAGATGGTTAATTGGTTGGGAAGGAGAAGAGGGAGATTGATGTGACTGATTTTTGTTGTTAAGTGTTGTCAAGTCAGTTCCAACTCATAGCGCCCCTGTATAGGGTTTCTAGGTAGTGGCTAGTGTGGATTTAAATTACTAACCTTCTCTTTAGCAGTCTAGTGCTTTTTGTGCAGTGCCATACCAGGACTCTGAATGTGAATAATTGTTGTTGTAGTTGTTTAATGCCATCGAGTCAATTCTGACTCATAGTGACCCATGTAGGGTTTCCAATGAGTAGCTGGTAGATTTTAATTGCTGACCTTGGGCTTATCAATCTAATGCATATCCTACAGCACTACACCAGGACTCCATTTTCCCTATGGTGATGGTGGTTATGTGCTGTGGAGTAGGTTCCAACTCCTAGCAACCCTGTATAGGGTTTCTGAGGAGCAGCGGGTGAGTTTGAACCACTGACCTTGCAGTTCAAATGACTTTGCAGTCTGGCACATTAACCCACAGTGTCACACCAGGACTCTAGGACACCCTATTCAATACTGCAAGTTGAGGCTTGAATTTTTTCATCAGTTCTTTCAATTTATGAAGTACTGAGCGTGTTCTTCCCTTTTGGTTTTCTAACTCCAGGTCTTTGCACATTTCATTATAATACTTGACTTAATCTTCTTGAGCAACCCTTTGAATTTTTCTGTTCAGCTCTTTTATTTCTTCATTTCTTCCAGTTGCTTTAAGTTCTGTATGCTCAAAATCAAGTTTCAGAGTCTCTTCTGACATCCATTTTGGTCAGTTCTTTCTTTCGTGACTTTTCAATGACCTTTTGCTTTCTTTATGGATGATGTTCTTGATGTCATCATATAACTCTTCTGTTTTTGGTTATTGGTTTCTAATACATCAAATCTGTTCTTGAAATGGTCTCTATATTTGGTGGGATTATGTTCAAGGTCATATTTTTGCTCTTTTGAACTTTTAAAATTTTTCTTTAACCTCAGCTTAAACTTGCATATGAGCAATTGATGGTCTGCTTCACTGTTGGCCCCTAGACTTGTTTTGATTGATTATATTGAGCTTCCTCATCATCTCTTCCCACAGACTTAGTCAATTTTTATTTCTGTGTCTTCCATCTGATGTTGTTGTTGTTAGGTGCTATCGAGTCAGTGACGACTCATAGCAACCTAATGCACAACAGAACGAAACACTGCCCTATCCTGGGCCAACCTCACTACTATTGCCACGCTTGAGTCCATCAATGCTGCCACTTGGCCAATCCATCTCTTTAGGGGTCATCCTCTTTTTCTCTGACCCTCCACCTTACCAAATATGATATCCTTCTCCAGCGACTGGTCCCTCCTGACAATATGTCCAAAGTATGAGAGACGAAGTTTGGCCCTCTTGGCCTCCAAGAAGCACTCTGGCTGCGCTTTTTCCAAAACAGATCTGTTGGTTCTTTTGACAGCCCATGGCACTTTCAATATTCTCCTCCAACACCATAACTCAAAAGCATTCATTTTTCTGCGGTCTTCCTTATTCACTGTCCAGCTTTTGAATGCATATGAGGTTATTGAAAATGCCATGGCTTGGATCAGGCACACTTTAGTCCTCAAGCTGACATTTTTGCTCTTCAACACTTAAAAAAGGTCTCATGCAGCAGATTTGCCTAATGCAATACGTCATTTGATTTCTTGACTGCTGCTTCTGTGAGTGTTGATAGTTGATCCAAGAAGAACGAAGTCCTTGACAACTTCAATCTTTTCGCTATTGATAAGAACTTATTGGTCCGGTGGTGAGGATTTTTGTTTCCTTTATATTGAGATGTAAATCTCAATGTAAATACATCTGATGAGCTCTATGTATATTGTTGCTTTTTATGTTACTGAAAAGGGTCATTGGGATGAATAAGACGGTCTTGCAAAGTTCTATCACGTGATCTCCAGCATCATTTCTATCATCAAGGTCATATATTCCAACTAATCTTTTCTCTTTATTTCCAACTTTTGCATTCCATTAATCAGTAATTATTGATGCATCTTGATTGTGTGTTTGATCAATTTCATACTGAATAAATTGATAGAACTCTTCAATTTCATCATCACTGGCTTCAGTGGTTGATGTGTAAATTTAAATAATAATGGTACTAACTGATCTTTCTTGTAGGCATATGGATATTATCCTACCACAAACAGCATTGTACCTCAAAATAGATCTTGAAATGTTCTTTTTGGAGATGAATATGACATAATTGCTCTTTAATTTGTCATTCTGGGCATAGAAAGCAATATGATTCCTGATTGAAAATTGCCGATACTAGTCTATCTCAATTCACTAATGCCTAGGATCCCACTCTAACATATTAAAGATGATTAGGCCACCATGAGGCAGGATGACTGAAATCCTGGTGATATTCATTTCTTTCTGACCTGGCAGTCAGGTTTTTGGAGGCATTTCCATTTTTCCTTTCTTCTCTCCAGGAGCAGTTGTAACTTGGAAGAAAATGAAGCAAAAACAGTTTGAGGACACTAGAATAAGTTTTCTGTGAAGCCTTCACTAGAATGGGTCTTCCAGAATACTTAATTGCACTCACTAAGGCCTAGAATA